AATTATGCAAGTATATGATCTAAAAATGATATGACATAATCATCAAGAGATAAGATTTCATATAGTCAAGTCAAGGATATAAGTTAATTAGTAAGTTTTTGAGTTATAAGCCAAGTCCTTAGATATGGAAATATTTTTGTCACCTACCTGTAGAAAACTTAATAATGTTACTAAAAAGGATGCTTATCCTCTTTCTTATATTGATGAAATGCTCAATACTTTGTCAGGAACTAAGTAGTTTTCTACCCTAGATCTTGCTAGTGGGTACTGGCAAGTAGAAATGGACTCTAGAGATAAGGAAAAGACTGCATTTGTAACTTGTTATGGCACTTACAAGTTTAATGTTATGCTGTTTGGTCTTTGCAATGTACCCGCTATATTTCAAAGACTTATGAATCATGTTTATCAAGATATCAATTGAAAGTTTGTAGTTGTATACTTGGATGATACTAATATCTTTTTACGAACTTTTGAGAAATATTTGAACCACCTTTGAATTGTATTTCAAAGAATCAGAAAAGCAGGTCTTAGGCTTAATATTGAAAAATGCAAGTTTTGGATAACTTCACTATCCTTTCTTGGTCATATTGTAAATAAAAAAGGAATTGCACCTGACCCCAAAAAGATAGAAGCTGTTCAAAACATTGCTCTACCTACTGGGATTACCAAACTCCAGTTATTCTTAGGACTAGCTAGATATTATTAACAATTTATTAGTAACTTTTTAGCTGTTGCTAATCCTTTAAATAAATTGCTTCAAAAGAATGAACCCTACGAATAGAAAGCTGAGCAACAAAAAGCCTTTGAAGAGCTGAAATAACAGTTAGTCACTGCCTCTATTCTTGCATATCTTAATTTTAAAAGAAGGTTTATTCTTGCCGTAGATACTTTATATCAAGGGTTTGAAGCCACCCTTAGTCAAAAGAATGATAAAGAAAAAGAACATCCTATTGTTTATGCTAGCAAAAGTCTTAGAAAAGAGGAACAAAATTATACCGCTACTGAACTTAAATATGCTAATATTGTGTGGGCTATAGAATACTTTCACAAATATCTTGAAACTTCTGTTTTTACTCTTGTTACAGATTACTCTGTTCTTTAGTAGTTAAAAACAAAAAACCAAAAGGAAAGTTTGGTCAATAGATCATAAAACTGCAACCTTATAATTTTGAAGTTCTTCACAAACCTGGTCGTATTCACTCTAATGTTGATGCTTTATCCAGACTTGAACCTAGAACCAATAACCTAAACACCACTTCTACATTATAGATTTAAATCTTTATCAATACTTGGTGGACTACTTAGAAACAGGCAAATTACCTTCACATTATACAGAAACAGAAAAGAAGAAATTTTTATCTTGACTAAATATTTTTGTACAAGGAATAGACTATTATACAAGAAAACTAAAAAAGATCTAACCAAATTTTTACGTGTAATCGAGTAGAATAAAGTTGAACCGGTATTATTTATGATACATAATCATCCTACTGCTAGACATTTAGGTGTTGATACAGTATTTGAAAAAGTAATAGAACTATATTATTGGGATGATATGTATAAAGATATTAAAAACTATATTCAAACCTGTGATACTTGTCAATGTCAAGGAAAGAATCAGAAAACAGATCGATTACATCCTATTCAAGTAGAAAAAGCTTTTGAATGAATTGAAATTGGCTGGTTGGACCTCTACCTATTACGTTACAAAACCATCAGTATATTATTGTTGCTACTGAGTATTTAACTAAGTGGCCTGAAGCTAGAGCTATACCACAAAATTCATTTTTGAGGAAATCATTTGTTGACATAGAGTATCCAAGATTATATTATCTGATCAAGGATCTAACTTTAGAGGTGACTTGATCAAAATCTTGTGTGAATAGTTTTTAATTAAGTATCACTTTTTATCACCATATCATCTACAAACTAATAGACTTGTAGAGCGATTTAATAGAACACTTTGTGAATCTCTTGCTAAAATTAAAGATTCTGATAATTAGGATACTCATCTGAATGCAGTTCTTTTGGCCTACCGTACGAAAAAGCATGATACTACTAGATATACTCCTTTTCAATTACTATATGAAAAGCAGGCTACTCTTCCAATCGAAACTATTCCGTTTATACAAGAAACAGAAACTGATGAAATTAATCTACAAGAAAGTATATTACAACGAGCCTATGAACTTATTGACAAACTATCTATTGCTTATGAACAAGCTCAACAAAATATTGCCAAATCACAACAAAAACAAATTGCTTGGCATACCAAGAAGTTTAAGTATCATGACTTCAAAGTGGGAGATTTGATTCTTGTTGTACGCTCTGATATCGCTGCATCAAAATTGGTAAAGTTCGAAGAAAAATTTAAAGGTTCTTATTATATATATCAGAAACTAGAAAACGATGCTTATAAACTACAAACTAAAGAACATGACCAAGTTCTCAAGCTATACTTTAATAGTCAATGACTTAAACTATACCATGATCAAACTTTATTTGAACCCACAATTATTATAAATTAGAAACAGAATATTAAATTATTAACTTAATAATTTATTCGTTAA